CCCCTGCCCCCGACCCCCAGCAGGGCCTTGGAGGACAAACCCCCCCCCTCCGCCTCCTCCAGTGGGCAACAGGCCCTCCATCCACAGGGAAGCGGTCCCACCGCCTCCCCCTCAGAACAGCAAGCCCCCCCGTGCCTTCTACCCCGAGGCCTTCCTCCTCCTCACAGGCCCCACCTCCACCGCCGCCACCAAGCAGGCCCGGCCCTCCTCCCCTGCCTCCAGGTTCCAGTGGCACTGATGAAACCCCAAGACTCCCACAGAGGAATTTGTCCCTTACGCCGTCTACAACCCCCTTACCTTCACCGGGACGATCAGGCCCTCTTCCTCCCCCGCCCAGTGAGAGACCCCCTCCTCCGGTGAGGGACCCACCGGGCAGATCAGGTATGTCACACCGGGGTGGAGTATGTCTTCCTACAGCCCAGCCTGTTCCGTGTCACTAATCATCATATAAGCAAAGGGAGTTTGACAGAAGCTTAAGTAAACTCTCAGACTGCTCTAATCTCTTAAGTGACACTTACTGTGGCTGACTTCACCCCGACCTCATGTGAGCCTCTGAGGAAAGTGGGATTACAATTTCTGTCTGCATTTTAGAGATGAAGAGACTAACTTTTTTTTTTTAAGATTTTATTTATTTATTTGAGAGAGAGGGAGAAAGATTATGAGTAAGTGGGGTGGGGAAGAGCAGAGCGAGAGGGAGAAGCAGACTCCCCACTGAACAAGGAGCCCAACTGTGGAACTCGATCCCAGAACCCTGGAATCACGACCTGAGCCGAAGGCAGACGCTTAACCTACTGAGACACCCAGACACCCTGACTAACTTATAAAGGCAAATGATCACCAGCTAGTTAATAAGAGACCAGAACTTTCACCTCCAATTCTGAAATGTGCTCGCCACGCTACTGCTCTGACTTCCCTAAAGTGAATATCAGCTGTCTTAATTGGGGAACTAAATTCGCGTCTCCTGTAAGAGCATCCATTATTCCAACAAGAAGGGTAGCTATCTAAGAGCTAATGAACTTTTCTTGTACTGCTCTCTCCATCAGTCAAGCTTTGAGGCCATGTCCCTAGTCATTAAAGACAAGTGTTAGAGCCCATTTTGCTGCTTGTTAATACCTTTAGCACATAAATCCCTTGGAGAATCAGATAAAGGTAGAGGCCTTGGGGGCACCTGGGTGGCTCAGTGGGTTAAGCATCTGCCTTCAGCTCAGGTCATGATCTCAGGGTTCTGGAATCGAGCCCCACATCGGGCTCCCCGCTCAGCAGGAAGCCTGCCTTTCCTTCTCGCACTCCCCCTGCTGTGTACCCCCCCATTGTGTCTCTGTCAAATAAATAAATAAAATGTTTTAAAAAATTAAAAAAAAAAAAAGGTAGAGGCCTTTTGTTCCTGAAAGTTCTCATAAGTACAACTCAAAATCTGTGTGCTATTTCATGGATTGAAGGCTCTGCTGCCGCTCGTCTGTGCCCCACCCCCCGGGGCTGAGAAAGCTGGATCTAAGGGAAGAACTTTGAGACTTTATGAAATGAAATGAAGTGAGAATTCCCTAGAACTTGTACTCTCTCCTAATTGTAATAGGTGCTTTTTATTTCACAGTGGTTATTGTTCTTAATTTAACCTTATTATTGTTATATAAGATGCCTGGAAATGGGGTGTCTTTTTCTTTAGGAGAAGCTAACCTTTTGCCCTGTGACCACAAGAACCTAATAAACACAATTCTTTTTTTTTTTTAAGATTTTATTTATTTATTTGACAGAGAGAGGGAACACAAGCAGCGAGAGGGGCAGAGGGAGCAGCAGGCTCCCCACTGAGCAAGGAGCCCGATGCGGGGCTTGATTCCAGGACCCTGAGATCATGACCAGAGCTGAAGGCAGACGCTTAACCAACTGAGCCACCCAGACACCCCTAAACACCACTCTTTAAATCAGTAGTCCTCAAAGGTGACCATGGGCTAGAATCACCTGGAGAGCTTTAAAAACCATGCTGGGTCCATTCCCCAGGGTTTCTGGTTTCATTGCTCTGGGTTACAGACTGGGCATCAAGATATTGGAGGCTCCCCAGTGATTATAACGTGCTGCAAAGTTTGAGAAGCACTACTTCAAACTGCTCTGGCCTCAGACAGTAGGCAACAAATATAAAAAGCCAGTACCAGTCGCTTCAATCCAATCCTTACACATCATGGCATCTCATTAAGTAATCTTCAGAGAACAAACGAGAACAGATAGTCAGATGAATGAAATGCAGTATTTTCTTCTTATCCAACAGCTAGTGGTATTCCCCCAAAGTGACTAAGCAGCAGTTTGCATGGTTCTACCAAATGGACAAGTCAACAGATTAAATCTTCCCCAAAACAGGACAGGCTGTGACATAGTTGTAATGTTATTTATTTCGATTATATAAGTCTTGTCTGTTTATTATGGAAAATACAGAAAAGTATAAAGAAAACAAAAATGATCTATAATCCTACCACCACCACCCAGAAATAATCATAACATTTTTTATTATTTCAGCCTTTTTAAAATGTATGTTTTGAGAGGGGGTGCCTGACTGGCTAAGTCGGTAGAGCATGCATTTCCTGATCTTGGGGTCATGAGGTTAAGCCCCACTTGGGCATAAAACTCACTTAAAAAAAAAAAACTCAGAAGTAAAACGTGTCTGTGTTTATATATACATATATATATAAACATATATTTATGTTTTTACAAAATCAGTATCACAGTATACATACTGTTTGGTTATTTGCTTTTTATTTATTAATCTCATTAACATCTTTTTTTTTTCATTAACATCTTCTGATAGGATTATAAACTATTCTTGTACAGCCTGACTTCTAATGGCTGCATAATATTAGATCCTACACATTTACCTTTATTCATTCAAACCATCTCTAGATTTTTACTGTTGCAGATAATGCAAGGAATATATTCTTGTAGCTAAATATTTTTGCACATTTCTGTGTATTTCCTTTGGATTAATTCCTCGAAATGAAATATTTTGGTGAGCAGGTATGTATAGTAATCTATAAATTTCATAGGTACTTCCAAACTGACCTCTAGAAAATTCCTACCACCTTTCATTCCCACAGGATCTTATGAGAGGTCATCTGTATTTTGAGAGGAGGACTGGCTTTATTGTTAGGAGTGTGGGCTTTAGAATTTGACATATTTGGAGTCTTGACAAAACCTGACTTGAGGTTTTTACCCTTCCAACACCAGCAGCCTCTTCTGTGTCCCTTCACCTCTCAGGGTTGCTGTAAGAATTAAGCGAGACAAGTGCGTATAGTGGTTATCTTAATTCCTAGCTTGTAACAGCATTAAATAAATGATAGTTTGTTGCTATTATTACAAGAAGTTGAAATCTGAGGGTGCCTGGGTGGCTCGGTCAGTTCAGCATCTGTTTCTTGCTTGTGGCTTAGGTCATGTTCTCAGGCTTGTGAGATTGAGCCCTGCGCTGGGCTTCCTGCTCAGTGGGGGAACGTGCTTGAGATTCTCCCTCTCCCCTTCCCCTTAGAGAGTTCTGCAAACTCTCTGTCTCAAAAGAAAAAAAAAAAAGTGTAATCTGCTTTCTTATTATGCTTGCCTAGGTTTGGAGCAGGGGTCCTGGAAGGTTCGAGAGTTAGGAGTATGAACATTTACTTGAAGAGAGAGAGAGAAAGAGCAAGTCGATCAGGCCCCATAATACTGGAAGTCTAGTTCGCGCTTGGTGACAGCTGTGCGCTGGTAGTACCAGTGAAATTAACCCACAGCATGTGAGATACTTTCCCCCCAGTAAATCAGCTCCTCCCGACTGGGAGCCCAGCAATGGCAAACAGATGGGGCAATAAATAAACCCTACCAGGAGAAGCACTGAAGACTCCTTGAGAGACCAACCACCCAGGGCCGGACATGCCTCTCACCTCCGTCAGCTGTCTGAGCCAAGACTTCCAGGCAGGGATACATGCAGTGGGTGGGTTGTTCAGTTTAAGGTCCTTTAGGTGGATTCTGAATCTGTAGTTAATAAAAGACATTTATATTTATAGTACCATAAGATGTTGTATTTACATAAAATGTCAGCATCTTGCAAGAGAAGCACACTGCTGAAGACCAGCAATAATTACTAAGGCCATTTTGATTTGCATGGGAAGATTCAAGTTCTTTTTTTTTTTTTAATTTACTTATAATCTAAATAGCCTCTGAATTTGGAAGATGGGACAAGGAGGACAGGTTTCTTTTGTATTATCAAAAGAATTTCCTTTTTTTTTTTTAAGGAACTTAAACATTTCTAATTATACCATTACCATTGCAATTTTTTTTAAGATTTTTTTATTTTATTTATTTGACAGAGAGAGAGATCACAAGCAGGCAGAGAGGCAGGCAGAGAAAGGGGGTAAGCAGGCTCCCCACTGAGCAGAAAGCCCGATGCGGGGCTTGATCCCAGGACCCTGAGATCATGACCTGAGCCAAAGGCAGAGGCTTAACCCACTGAGCCACCCAGGCGCCCCTACCATTGCAATTTTTTAAAATGGTTTCAGAGACTTAAATTGTACTTTTTATTTGCTTTTAGCTACTTATTCCTGGCAAGAGTGCTGTGAGATGACTCTCTGGTACTCTTTTGTATATAGAGAGTTTCGTTCCATGTGGTAACCAGCTTGTTCAGGGTCAGGATCAGAGTACACAGCCGTGCACACTGACTAATCCACCTCCCCAAAGAGGAAGAACCAAAAAGGAACTCCTGCCAATCTCAGCACGATTGATAGTTGGTTTCCTGATGCTGCTTCTGCCTAGAAACAGATCGCATGCATCACAGAAGCATGCTTGTGTAATTAGCAACACTACCGTGCATTTAAAGAGCCTAGTCCCTCTGAAGACCTAAAATAACTTCGTAACTAGCTTCTTCTTTTTTTTTTTCAATTCTTTTTCTAAATGGCATTTATTCCTATCATATCATATCACAGTAATTCAGTAGCTAATTAAGAGGATTATAAAATGTTTTTAAAAGGATATAGTTGTCAGTATAAACAGATTATAACCTGTTCTCAACCTAACCGTATCATCTCTAATCTCAATACAACCAAAGCCAAGACAGCCATTTAGCTATCGATATCAACATGTGTACGTATGTGCAGTTCTGTGTTTATCTGTACTTATTCCTTGCTTGGCTAAATCTCCTAGAAAGTTTCCATTATTTCTCCATAAGCTCTAATTATTGGGCATACATCCAGCAGGTGCTCAATAACTGCACATTGGCAGTGACATGATAATAGTAATGTAGGATGTAAGATACTGCACTAAATGTTGTCTTTTTTTTTTTTTTTTTTTTCTGTCCCAGGCCCTCTCCCACCACCCCCTCCAATAAGCAGAAATGGCAGCACATCTCGGGCCCTGCCTGCCACCCCCCAGTTGCCTTCCAGGAGTGGAATAGATAGTCCCAGGACTGGACCCAGGCCTCCTCTTCCTCCTGACAGGCCTGGCGCCGGGGCACCTCCCCCACCTCCACCATCAACATTGATTAGGAATGGCTTCCAAGACTCTTCAGGAGAAGGTGAGGTGGGGTCTATCCTCTGGGGAAGGGACCTTGGGAATATTTTCAAGCTACAGGGCACCCACTAAATGGTAAATTTGTGTGCGTTGTGTGTTTGCATTAACATTTCTTGTTTCTATGACCCTCAAACACTGCACTGCTCTGATCTAAGTATCTATCCATTAGAGACTGCCATGATTTCAAATTCAAAGTAGTAATCCCACCTCCTACATTTTTCAAAAAGGCTGATTGTTTTCCTCTCTCACTGTTGGAGTCTCATTTTAGTTAACTTTCTAGAAGATTCCAGAACCCTAAAAAAATGTCATTTTTGTCGTTTATCTTCTTATTACCTACCTTACCTGCCTTTCTCAACAGTTTGCTGGGGCAAGAGGCCTGATGATCTACAGGTATTAAGCGGCTTTCCTCTGCCTTTTTTTATGAGAGGGTCCAGTTATTCCTGGGCCCATTGGTGGGAAGAAAGGTATCTCAGACTTTAGCCCCCAGGTCCTAAGAGGGACCGGCTGAGTCCTAATCACGCTAGTTCAAGTCACTTAGATCTGTCTTTGCTTTGATTCGCAGACCAGCGTATTTCACTGATGCGCTGATCAGTGACATTTGTTGCATTTCTGGGTTTTCTCTAAACTTCTAGGCATAAAACTAGAAGTGCTCTCTGCAGCTCTCTGTGTCCTTTCATTATGTAAGTCTTCATAGCAGATTGTTACTGAAGATGCTGTTTGTTTCTCTCCCTCAGATGAGTGGGAAAGCAGATTCTACTTCCATCCCATTTCTGACTTGCCGCCTCCAGAGCCATATGTACCAACAGCCAAAAGTTATCCCAGTAAACTGGCAAGAAGTGAATCCCGGAGTGAGTATTTCTGCAAGGGCTTCAGGTGGCTTCATTCTTCTACAGCCTGGGTTGTATACGAGAGAGGGTTATATAGGAAATCCAGGCCTCCTGCCTGGAGTGGGACAGACAACCCCATATGGAGCCATCTAAATTCTGGTTAACTGTCCTTCCACAAGTGATGAGGAAAATGGGGATACCCAGAATATATATGAGAAACGATTACTTTAACGTGTCATCACAAGCTCAATGTAACTTTGCTTTGTTATTAGGTTAAATTGTATTGCTTTGCTCGTTCGGACAGACTTCCCCATTTTGGCATTCCTGAGATAGGACAAATGTCTTCTACTTGTTTTGAGACTAGTCTGATGTCTTAATAATTATAACAAAAACTCACTGCAACTGCCTTGATATTTTAGATACATTATGATCAGGGGCACCTGGCTGGGTCAATCAGTGGAACAGGCGACTCTGGATCTCAGGGTTGTGAGTTTGAGCCCCACCTAGAGTGTAGACATTACTTAAAAAAATAAAATATTAAAATAATAATAATAAAGTCATAAATATATGATGATTATAGATTTTAGAGCATTACATGAAAATTTTAAATATACCCATAATCTCTCCATATAATCTCCATAAAATCACCACATATATTCATTTTACCAGGTTCTCTGCTCATTTTTAATCCATATAATTCTTATTGACTTATCATTATTAAGTATAGAGTGTACTTTCTTGGTGGTGGGTTTTACATAACTTTGCTTAGTAAAATACCTTCCCATTTTATCACATGATTTTTATTTTATAGTATCCCATCAAGTCGACATACAGTGATTTAGTTTACCATTATTGGACATTTAGATTTTTTTCTGGGTTTTGCTAAAATATATAATGCAACCATAAAGAAGCGAATCACTTTTCCTCTATATTGAAACAAAAATGGGAACAAGAAGAGGAAATAGAGAAACTGAAATTTCATGACAATAAGTGGTTAGAACAAAGAAAAATTTGGCACAAAACACACATAGATCACTGAGGAGGCTCAGACTTGTAACAGCTTTAAATTTAGAACCAAATTCCCAAACCAGAAATGGGGGGGGGGGTTTGCACATGTCAGGTAACTGTTCCTAGCCTTGTCCTCACTCCTTAGGCAGAGCTCCGTACACCTACTCAAGAGTCTCCTGACTCTGTATCACCCAGTTCTTCAGTCCTTTGTGGCTGGATGTTTCCTAGCCATAGAGCATAGAATCATAGCTGCTTCAGTTAAGGCTGGTGATAAGCAAAATTAGTGGCTTCAGGGAGATGTGACAGGTGGCAGTCTCAGGTCAAAGAGACAGGGATACGGGACTGTACTCTGTATCACAGCACGGGACAACACAGGAGTTTCTGTTGGGCTGTGAGGACCAGGTCACATTGTGCTCTGTGCCACTCCTGAAGAATTCAGAACATTAGAAGATGTTTTAAGAAAAATTTCCACAAACAAATGCCAGAAGGAAACAGAGTATTGCTGCTTGAAAGGAAAAGGGATAAGTTTAATTTCTAGAGAAACTCATTTATGTAAAATACTCCATTTCTAGACAATGGCTGATAAAAAAAAAAAGGTATAACTATAATAAGGTTATACAAGAGTGAAAAGTAAGTCTTCACATGGGACAGATAACTTTGAGGGTGTGTGTGCGTGTGTGTGTGTGTGTGTGTGTGTGATGAAGAGGGGCTTCTGTCTCTTCCTTTTTGGGCACTAACAAACGAATTCACTTTAAGGACTTGTTCATATGGACTCTAAATATTTTTCCTGGTTTCTTATAAGCATTCTTAATCTATTGTAAGTACTCTTTGCATATTTAAATCAGTAACAGAACCATCCCCCCTCCTCTAGATTTTTAACTTCATAGCTGAACAGATTCCCTTCCCCACCCTGCTGTCTCTGAGACTAAAGGCAACTCGAGGACAGGAACTGTCCTCTCACTACTCCATCTTCCTCAGGTGGCCCCAAGCCTGAAATATGGTGGGCATTTAAATATATTTCTGAAACTGATGAATTAATGTCCACTGTACCCAAAAATGTTTTTGTAGACTTGCTTTAAATATTTCTAGCACTCTGTGTGTTTAATAGATCATCTCTGTAACAAAACTAAAGCACTGTCGAGTGATTTTGCTCTGCTCCTGTAGCTGCCTGGGCCTCTGGGTGGGGCACCCGCCTGGCAGGGCCCCCAGGCAGCCCCAGGCCCTGCTGTCTCACTGCAGCTCTGCATGGGGCAGCCTGCATGGTATGTCAGCCATGGTCAAGGCCCCACAACACATGACTGGTTTCTATCCAGATGCGTCTCTCTTTAGGTGTGGGACCCAGAAAAGACACGGTTGGGGTGGCAAGAGGAAGAGGCAAGGTAACAAGCTGACCGTGTCTTCCTCTAACTCCTCCCCTTGCTCAGAGCTTTTGTTCTGTCTCAGAAATCCCTGTTGGGATGCCTCCTGAAGAATCTGTCAGTGCCAGCCCACTTCTGAGTTCCCCCAGAGCAGCAGCCACAATGGACCCACTCAGCTGACATGTGTCCCTGCTAGATCTGCTCACAGTGTCTGAGCACCCGGCTTCATGCCTAAAACCTGTTAGAGCCTCAAAAGAAATGATGTGGGGCAAATGAATTTAAAAAACTGTGAATGGATTTTTAAACCCAGTACTCATACCCATGAATATGCGTAGTTTTTAAAAGAATACTATCAACAGAGCAGAGAGACAACTACGAAATGGAATAAAATATTTGCAAGTCATATATCTGATCAAAAAGTTATATCCAGAATATATAAAGAATTCCTGTGACTCAACAACAAAAACCCAATTTTTAAAATGGGTTGATTACTTGCATAGATGTTTCTCTGAGGAAGATATCCATATTGCCAAAAAAGCACATGAAAAGATGCTCGCTATCACTAATCATTAAAGGAATACACACAGAACCACAGTGAAATACAGCATCACAGCCATTAGGACGGTTACTCTCAAAAAAGCATTGTTGAGAAATTAGAAGATACCTAAATGTCCAACAAAAAGGAATTGATCAGATAAATACAGCATACTTACATAATAGAATATGTGTTATTTATAATTTTATGTATCAACAATAACAGCTCTGAAAAATGTTCAGACCGACAATATATGATCCTATTTGGGGAAGAAAAAAGAGAGCTGTTTATATATAGAAGATAAGTGGAAAGTATTTACATCATGTTATTGGTTATCTCTGGGTGGTACAGGCATTGGTGAGTTTCTGTTTTGTTTTAGCTCATCCATATTTTTTTAAAAAGATTTATTTATTTGACAGACAGAGATCACAAGTAGGCAGAGGCAGGCAGAGAGAGAGGGAGGGAAGCAGGCTCCCCGCTGAGCAGAGAGCCCGATGCAGGGCTTGATCCCAAGATCCTGAGATCATGACCAGAGCTGAAGGCAGAGGCTTTAACCCACTAAGCCACCCAGGCACCGCCCCCCATCCATATTTTCTAAATCTGTAATAAACACATACCATGTGGTAAGAAGAAAACTATTTTTTTTTTAATTTTCTTAACTTTGGGTAAGTACTTGGGAGCCAGTGGTGGGTCATCCGTCTCTAGAAATGTTCAGTCACATCCTTCCTCGCTTGCCTTCATTTCTTACTTCTCACCCACGTGTGCCTGTTCTTCACAGCCTTGGTCATAGAGGGTGACAGAGTGGGTACTTTTGTGATCATCCTTTAGTTTGTACAGTGAGGTCATAAGCTTTCTAACCAAAATTTATATTTTGTCTATTTTTTCATCAAGGTGGATCCAACCGAAGAGAAAGGGGTGCCCCACCACTTCCTCCCATCCCAAGGTGATCTTTGCCTGCTCTTCTCCAGCCGAGCCCAAGAGCTCCTTCTGTTGTTGTTCTCCAAGGGTGCAAAACCCTCCTCCCCTTGTCTTCACTTGTCCCCTTCATACTGGCTGTAGGGAAAGGGAGGGTGATGTGGGAATATGTGTGCGGGGGGGTGGGAATGCAGTAAAGAAACGCACCTAGCTTTTTATATTGTGTATATTCTCAAAGCTCTTGCTTGCTTCAGCTACAGCCTGCCAGTGCTGGCTGCTTAGGGGTCAGGAGGCTTTTGTGGCAAGGTGGCAGACATGCATTGTGTCCTAGCTTTCAACCAACCAAGTTCAAACATTCAGTGCTAATTTGCTACAGACTCTAACATTAAAGTCCCTGAGAGCTATTTGCTTCCATGACTTTTTTGCATGCTTGGCTTTCTGTCTGATTCCAGAAACCACAGTCCACCTAAGCAAGTTGCGGCACTCAGGGCTCACATAAAATTTTTCAGTTACAGGATGTCCAATCTTTGGCAGTCTGAGATAAGCTCTAGGACAGAGCTGTCCAATAGAAATACAATGTGAGCCACATATAACGGTGTTTGAATTTCTAGTAGCTACCTTAAAAAAGGAAAATAGGTGAAATTAATTTTAATATATTTTATTTAACCCTAATACCCAAATTATTACCATTTCAACCTGCAATCAGTATAACAATTATTAATGAGCTATTTCACATTCTGTTTTGGTACCAAGTCTTCAAAATCCCATGCGTATCCTACGTTGATTGAGAGCACATTCCCCATTCAGACTAGTCGCATCTCAAGGGCTCAACAGCCCTGTGTGGCCGGTGGCTACCATGTTTGGGCAGTACAGGTCTAGAAGATGCGGACTAGTGCAAAATCTCTTGTTTCAAAAACAAAAAAAGGCAAGATGAATTTTAGCGATTCAAAAAGTAACTAAAAATCAAGTTAGGACCAAACACCTTGTTCAACAGATAGCTTGACCTTTGATTTTGTTCCCCTATTTCCCGTCTTTCCTTGATGTGTATATCTAGGTGCTGCTTCACAGTACCAAGGTCAGAAATTGATCTAACAGGGTTTACAGTCATGTGGAATAAAGCCATTAGAAGGAAACTGAAAGCCAGCCAAGGCTTGGGGACTCAGAGCCCGCTGCCTTGAGCTAACTGTCCATTGGACCCCTGCCTTGCCTTCATTTCCTCTGCTGCCCAAATGCATCTCTGAGCGGGGGAGGCTCGCAGGCTCTGTAACTGTGGGGGAAAGTTAGGAAAAGGTAGCCAATTGGAAACGTGGAAGAAGGAAGCAGGTTTGAGTTGATGGACAAAACTCTAAATGTCTAAATCTGATGTTTAAGGGGGTTGAGAGAGATTGCTACTACAAATTGAAGAGAATTTGTCTTGACTCCATTGGGAGAATGCCTTGGATCTATGCAAATCAAGCTCCGTGAAAGGACCATAGGAATGAGCCAGGCTTGCCCTTTTTTTGTATGATTTTGTTTACAAAACTTTACTGGGACTTTTAAATCTAGCTATAGATTTGGGGGGAAATTTTTCCATTTTATATGGTTTTATATGGTTGATTATGTTTAAAATTACCATTACTTATTTTTTAAAAGCACACAGCCACATATGTATATGTATACTTAAACTTTGTGTCATGGTTTCAGTGTATTGTTCATGGATTACCAGGAGATGCTAATAAGAAATCAATCCAAAGAAAAATTTGAAAGAAGGATTCCTATTTATAGAATAAATAATTGTTTCATTTATATAAAAGCAAAAGAACTTAGAGTTCTAATAAATGGGATAGCTAATAAATTATGAAGTTGCCCATTTGGATATATTGTATTTTTATAACTTTCCTTGCCAAAGTCCTGGGCTTAGTATGTTAGAGAACTTGGTTTTTCCCCCTCTCCTCTACCATTCATCTGTCTTTCATATAGTTATTTGGGGCCCTTTGCCCAAAGGGAATCAAGAAATATAAAGGTATAACAAACTTGGCTAAGTATTTTCCAAAAAGAATGTTTCAGGTTTTATAGCAGCATCATTTTATTTGGGATGTTTTGAGCAGATATGAATGGTTGTTACAAATCGCTATGATAAAGCCTAACAAGCCACCTCACAAAAGATACGATCTGGCCTTCCTAGCAAATGATGGCAGGGAAGTCTCATCCAAGGAATTTGGATCTGAATTTTGTGAGGGCTAGTAAGCATGGCCAGTTTCTTTGTACATCCCAGCTTTGTAGGTATCATCCTAAAGTCTGAAACAGTCATAGCTCAAAGTTGCTCTTCAGGAGAGAGAAGTTTTAGGATGTATTTAAGTCAGTGTTTCATTAATACACCTATACCCTTTCTTTGAAAGTTGGCAACCTAATTGCATCCAAAACTGAATAATCTCTATGCTAAAATCTTCAACTATGGCAAATCACAAAAATGAATATTTTCTTCCTGAAATCAGGGCTTACATTTGGGGTTTTTTTCCATAATATTTCTAGATAAATGTATTCAAGATGCAATACAGTATTTTAATATTCACATATCATTTTATATTGAAATGTGTTACAGTATTAAAATTCAGTGTTCCATATTTATTTCACTATGCATTTTATTTAGTAGAAACCAAGAGAAATGTTTAATCCAATGGTGCCTTACTTTGTGATTTGAAAGAAATCGACTTTTTATGTCTAAGCAGCAGATTATTTGCATATTTGTAAAAACTTAGGCCTTTATATTTTAACTTGTAATACCAATTTTGTTATTTTAGTAGCAGAAATGGGATGGTTGTTAAAGCGCCCAACATTTTTTGCCACAAAATTAATTTTTCCCTGTTTGTAGTCAGGGACGGTAAAAGAAAACAAATGTTTTTCATACCACTGCACTATGTAAACATGCACATTTTGGAATCTATATCATCAGGACAGTTTAAATGGTGGGGTAGAGACTACCCTAGACATCTGTGTCTTTGTAAGTTAGCCAGACAATAAATAAAAGCAGAGTGATAAGAGTGTCAACTGGTGGTTTTTATTTAAGTATTGTCTAGTAAATGCAAATGAAAAGGCAAGTGTCTGTTTTCTGTTTTCTACTCTGGTAAAGAAAGACAAGCTCTGGGGAACCTGGGTGGCTCAGTGGGTTAAGCCTCTGCCTTCGGCTCAGGTCATGATCCCAGGGTCCTGGGATGGAGCCCCACATCAGGCTCTCTGCTCGGCAGGGAGCCTGCTTCCTCCCCTCTCTCCGCCTGCCTCTCTGCCTACTTGTGATCTCTGTCTGTCAAATAAATAAATAAAATCTTAAAAAAAAAAAAAGAAAGAAGGAAAGACAAGCTCACAGCAAAGAAAAAGAGGAGGAGGTGGCAGCAATCCAGTGAGGGTTCCTCACACCCACTTTCTAGTCCCTTATTTGTTTTTCCTGAGAACCTGCGTCCTAGTCAGAGTCTGCTGTTTCCCTCAGGCAGATGCTTCTACTCTAAGGTAAAGATGGATGGTGGGAACAATGGGCAAGAAAACTTCCAGGATGAGCACTGACACTGATAAATACAGGAAAGGCCAATGGGAATTTAGGAGGCCTGATAATTTTTTAAATGATCTGCTGTGCATGCTGGAATGTGTACATATCTTTTTTTTTTAAGATTTTATTTATTTATTTGATAGAGATCACAAGTAGGCAGAGAGGCAGGCAGAGAGAGAGAGAAACAGGCTCCCCACTGAGCAGAGAGCCCGATGCGGGGATTGATACAAGGACCCAGGACCCTAGGATCATGACCTGAGCTGAAGGCAGAGGCTTTAAACCACTGAGCCACCCAGGCGCCCCCGTATACATATCTTAATACAGCATACCGGTTAAGAGATTAGGAAGACCTGCCCCCACCTCTTACCAAGTTGCCAACTTCTCTGAGCTTCAGCTTCCTTATCTGCAAGGTAAGTAACTATCTCACAACATTAACAAATGCATTAAATGAGATAATGCAACAAATGGCCAACAGACATGTGAAAATTGCTCCACATCACTCGGCATCAGGGAAACAGAAATCAAAACCACAGTGAGATGCCACCTCACACCCATCAGAATGGCTGAAATTAACCAGTCAGGAAATGACAGGTGCCAGTGAGGTTGTGGAGAAAGGGGAACCCTCCTACACTGTTGGTGGGAATGCAAGCTGGTGCAGCCACACTGAAACAGTATGAAGGTTCCTCATAAAGGTGAAAATAGAGCTACCCTACAACCCAGCAATCGCACTACTGGGTATTTACCCTAAAGATACAAATGTAGTGATTTGAAGGGGCACGTGCACCCCAATGTTCATAGCAGCAATGTCCACAACAGGCAAACTATGGAAAAAGCCCAGATACCCATCGACAGATGAATGGATAAAGAAGATGTGGTATGCAGATACAATGGAATACTACCCAGCGATCAAAAAAAAATAAAAATTAAAATTAAAAAAAACTTGCCATTTGCAATGATGTGGGTGGAACTAGAGCGTATTACACTAAGCAAAATAAGTCAATCAGAGAAAGACAATTATCATATGATCTCACTCATATGTGGATCATAGGGGAAAGGAGGGAAAAATAAAACAAGATGAAATCAGAGAGGAAGACAAACCAGAAGAGGCTCTTAATCACAGCAAACAAACTGAGGTTGGCTGGAGAGTGGGGAGAGGGATGGGGTAACTGGGTGATGGACATTAAGGAGGGCACGTGATGTAATGAGGACTGGGTATTATATAAGGCTGATGCATCACTGACCTCTACCTCTGAAACTAGTAATACATTTTGTGTTCATTAACTGAATTTAAGTTTTTTAAAAATGAGATCATGCACTCAGTATTTAGCCTGACTTACTGTAGCTCTCAATAAGTGATAGCCAATCTGAGTAAAAGCAGGAAACATATTTATCTAATGATCCCAGATTAACTGGAGCCAAACTGACCGGAAGGGAATTTCCTAGTGTACTTGTAGAGGAACGAAGCAACAGCAGTCAGGCTCTCCGTACCAGAAATGCAAAGCAACCTCCACACAAAGGTCACCTCACATGATGTCAGTCCCTTATACCTCGTAGGTCTGGAAAATGAAAATTCGTGCTGCTTTAGTCGTCAGAGAATTATTAGATTCCACTTGAAATCACAAAAAGTAAGACCTGGAAAGAACCTTCTATATAGGGC